AATCAGTGGAACAACTTGCCTCCAGAAGTTGTGAATGCTCCAACACTGGAAGTTTTAAAAAAGATGTTAGATAACCATTTGTCTGAAATGTATAGGGTTTCCTGCCTAAGCAGGTAGTTGTACTAGAGGACCTCCAAGGTTCCTTCAACTCTGTTATTCTGTTCTATTATATCTTGGAGACCTCTTAAGATGATCTAGATTGATATGGATATTTTGTATCTCCAGGTTAAGAAACTTCCTTTCAAGTTACCGACCTTACTAAGGATAGCTATATCACTTTGTGCCTCTATATTCTTAATTCTTTGGGCAAATTAAAATAGCAACTTCACAAATGATACAACACAGGTTTGGAAATATAAAAGGGGTGTGTGTCATGCAGCTGGCATCTCTCTTTCCCCCCCCCTCTACTAGGATGTCTCTGTTAGTAGAGAGTCCCTTGAACAAAAAAGCAGGAAACTGGGTGAAAAGGAGCCAGGAATTCCGAAAGCTAGAGCTTTAACAGAATTGTGCTTTCCTTTTCAGGCTCTCCCCTTCTTCTGCTGTTTCCCCCTTTTTTTGTAACCTCTGATCGTAACAGGGGAGGACGGCATCATTAAAGAAGAAAAAGGCAGGGGGGCAGGAAGGGCTGGATTAAAGCAGCCCAAAGGGAGCCAATTTGAAGAGGATGGAGGTGGAAAGAGAGGCAACCCTGAAAAAAGCAGATAGAAGAGAGGGAAATGCCACCGGCCCAGTTAAAACCAATCCAGTGGGATGAATTCTATGCTCATCCCTCCGGAGGGGCCGCTGTCAGAGAAAGCAATTTAAGTGCAAGTTATGGGTCAGGAATATTCCCTGCATGATGCTGCACCAAGCTTAAGAGTTCGTTACTATTTGTGAGCAGCACAAAGCAAGAGAGGAGTCTGCTCAGAAGGACCCCCACATTCTGCAGCCAGAGCTTTCTCCTTCTTGCATCTCAAGCAGGAACCAGCATGGGGACTCTTGTTCTGCTGCTCCCCAGGACGTGCCCTGCATCCCTCCTCACTCCCCAGATGGAGAGGCCCTCAAATCAACCTCCCTGTGTGTCTGTGTCTGTGTGTCCCCTTGGAAGGATTAAAAAAAGGCCCAATGGCAGCTGTGACCATGTGATAGACGCTCCCCTCCCTTTTAACATGCATTTTGACAATTTACGACCCTCTGAACGTCCCTCACCTGCTTTGGCCCTCTTTGCCTTGGGAAGCACAAAAGACAGGAATTTTTAAAAACTTTAAAACAATTGCTGCCAGCCTGCCTTCCATCGANCCTCTGGTGGGGCACAACACTCCCTTGGGCATGAATCGAAAGGAAATGTCCTCTTATCTTTGCTTCCCAGAACTTCTGTAGATCAATACTGTCTACATCCCAAACCTTTATTAATTTTTGTGCTCTTCTAATAGAAGCTTGGTGTTGCTGTCTATTAGAGCGGGAATCATTAACTTCACTTTCTTATTATTAGCTCACTTGTAAACGTTATCCTATTCTTCCATGAAGGAACACATCATTTTGGTAGCTTCCAATCCAGAAACTGGATTGGAAGCAACATCCACACCATATCAGGAATTCTTTCAGGTTGGCCACGAGATGGCACTAGCTTAATACTTTACTTTTCCTGGAACAACGTTAGATCTTTGGTGGCTGAGATGTTTGCAAAAGGATGTAACAACAGACTATGCAGCCAAAGATTTAACGGAGAGGCATTTTGGGCTTTCTTCTCTTCTACATTCTCCCTTGTAACTTTCTTTTTCTCCTTATCTCATGCAAGCTACACGAGAAGTTAATACAAGTGTGTAGGTTTGTATATATCTCTCACCTTGGAGAATCCCCGATGAAGAAGATAAAATTATCCCAAGAAAGAGATCTGTGCTATTTTTTTTGACCCCTCTTTTATTCCATACTCCCTCCTCCTGTCTTTTCCTCAAACAACATCCCAGTGAGACAGGTTGATCCAAAACAGAGCGACTAACCCAGTATCGTATAGGGAATTTTTGTGGCTAATGATGATGATTAGAATCTGAGTTTCCCTACTCCCAGTCCCTACTTTCTCTGTTTCACTCTGATTCTTGGACTGTGGGGAAAAGATTGACCCCAAATCACCAGGGAGCCTCTGTGCCAGGGGTGGGTTCCGGCAGCCCCTACTGCCGGTTCGCTCGTAGGTGCTTTGTGCGTGCTTGATGCGCATGCATGCGCAGTACAATAAAAATTGTTCTGCGCATGCGCAGAAGCAAAAAAAAAAAAAAAGATGGCAGCACCTACAGCGCTACCAGAACCGGTTCAGGAGCATGGCAGGGCCTGGGTCACTGCTGATTCCAGCGACCCAGGCCGCCAAACTACTACTGGTTCAGCCGAACCAGTCTGAACTGGTAAGAACCCACCACTGATCTTTGCCTAAGTAGGGATGAGAACTTGGGCTTTCTTGCTCCTAGTTCAATGCCTTTACGGCTGGCTCTTGGGCTGGGAGAGAGAGAGAGAGAGACCTTGGATCAAAGTCCCACAGAAATTTTACAGGGCTGAAAGGATTGGAGCAAAGAGTTCTGGGTCCAATCCTCTTTCAGCTCTGTAAAATTTCTGTGGGACTTTGATCTCCTTGCTCTTAATCCAACACTTTCATCACTATGGAGCAGAGGTGAGATTCACTTACCTTCCCTACCGGTTTTCAAATATGAGCGTGCTTGCTTGCACCTCGTCCGTACATGCGCAGTGCTTGCGCATTATGTCGGGACGGGGGCGGGGGCAGAGCCTCCCGCAGCTATCGCTATTGGTTCGCCTGAACCGGAGAAAACCGGCT